GGGGAGGGGCCTGGCCTTCGGGCCATGGCAGTAGTTCCCTAGCCCTTCTCTACGTCGGCAATACATATTCTGACCAACCATTGTGCCTCCTCTTATCTTTAGGGAGGTCGTGCGGGGCTACATCAGTACATGTCATTACTGTGTCCAAAGTCACAAATCTCATAAAGTCTTCAGGAGAGACTCAAAGTTAAAGCAGGGTTAGAGATAAGAGAGTAAAATCCAAACAAACAGCAAAATAACACATAAAACGCCTTGTTGACTGGTTAAAAAAGATGCCCATTGACATATGATGGAAAAGACATCAGGCTTGAACGACCTGAAACCCTCCTTTATAGAGGCATCGACGATGCTCTCACTTCAACGAAATGAGCACGAACGAAGTTATTTCTGTCTGGAGGTATGATTTACTAAACTATATGCTTACTTCCGCCTCATCAGTCTGACAATCATGGTTTGAAATAAAGTAGTATTTTAGAACGATAGTATGAGTTACAAGAGACCTCCGAAGCACATGCCAAAGCACTTACTGATAAAGGGAGGGAGATCATGGAGCAGTTTTTGAGCTTTTGAAAGAGAATGCCATAACAATAATTTTAGCAAAGGAGCTTGATTGAAGGCTTTGCCATGGTTGGGAGCATAGCAAAAATAAGCATCGGTAACCTGACCTAATTGCATCAGATTAGAAGACCACAGCATTAGTAGCAGCTGGCTACCTTAAGTGATGTAGTGATATCCCTTACCCTTTACTAGACAAGTTAGAAAAGTTATGGGAACTTCACTGCAATGAAACCCATCGGAGCCATCTGGCCACTCACCGCAGTGCTGCCTCGTTGGAAGGGCCCAATTCGAAGTCTCCTCCACCTCCTCTTCTTCTATCCAGTCTTCCACGGATTCCGTAGACTATGACAGAGAAAATAAACAAATAGATTTTAGAAAAATAAGCCTTTAGGTGTAACATTAGCGACTTGGCTTCAATGGGCATTATGTTGGAATTCATTTTCCCTCAACTAACCGGTTTAGAAGATCAGTGCTTGTAATAAAAAATTTTTCTGGCTGCGCCTATCACTACCTCTTTTGAAGTCCATGCTTTACAGGAAATTACCGCACACATTTTGGTGCTCTCTTTCATCCTCAGAAATACTGTAGTAACTGATAAAATCCAGATTAGCCCCTTTGATATTATCCACTCGGTACAGGCTTTGATATTCTAAAAATCCATTTTTACTCAACTTGATAACCCAATCATAACACAGAATTGTAGAATAAGGTCCAGAGCCGAAAAAGCAAATGTTGCTGGTAAATAAAATTTGTTTTAGAGGCACCTAACGGTTTCCCTCCTTTTTTAACAGACCGTTAAAAACCTTAACTCCTGATGCCTTGCGTTAGATCGGCTGTAACGCAGAAATTCTTCCACCTAAATGAATGACTATCCAGCAGTCAAAGGTAAGCGCTTTTGAAGATAAATGAAGGCAGAGGTAATCAGATTAGACACACTTTAGGGAACAGTTTGAACAACTTTTCAGAGGATTAAAAAATTAACACTTCAAACGCGATAATGTTTCAAACATTAGACTACAAGTTTGGGTAAAAAAATAAGTTGTTCTTAAATGATAGAGGGCTTGTCAATTTGGCAACAGAAAAAAACGCG